CTTCTTGCGGCAACACCAGAGGCACTCCAAGGGGCCAGAGACTGCTCAAAGGACATCTAATCAACTACCAAGTTTGCAAACTCTGTGTCTTTTGTATGTATGTTTGTTTGTTTGTTTGTTTGTTTTGTCTGTTTGTTTGTCATCTGGTATCACCCATGGATTGAGGTTCTGGGTTTGAGCCTGCCACTTTTGGACTCTCACTTGCTGGGGTGTTCCAGTGAGTGTCTCTGTAGATCTTAGAAAACTATTTCTAGATTTAAGTCGTTGACGTGCTGGCTGATACCCAAACAGGGGATGAGCTGGAGATGTCTCTGCCTTGGTCCTTTCACTATTGGATGCTACTTCCCGGCGGATGTCAGGTGGTGCAATACCGGCTAGACAGTGTAATTTCTCCAGTGGTGTAGGGCGCAGACACCCCGTGATAATGCGGCATGTCTCATTAAGAGCCACATCCACTGTTTTAGCGTGGTGAGATGTGTTCCACACTGGGCATGCGTACTCAGCAGCAGAGTAGCATAGCGCAAGGGCAGATGTCTTCACTGTGTCTGGTTGTGATCCCCAGGTTGTGCCAGTCAGCTTCCGTATGATATTGTTTCTGGCACCCAGTGTTTGCTTGATGTTCAGGCAGTGCTTCTTGTAGGTCAGAGCACGGTCCAGAGTGACTCCCAGGTACTTGGGTGCGCTGCAATGCTCCAGTGGGATTCCTTCCCAGGTAATAATCCTCAGAGCTCGGGATGCTTGTCTGTTCTTGAGGTGAAAGGCACATGTCTGTGTTTTAGATGGATTAGGGATCAGCTGGTTTTCCCTGTAATAGGCAGTAAGAGCACCAAGAGCTTCGGAGAGCTTCCATTCAACCATCTCAAAGCTCCCTGCTTGAGCGGTGATGGCACGATCATCAGCATAGATGAAGCTCTCTGTCCCTTCTGGCAGTGGCTGGTCGTTTGTGTAGATGTTGAACATGGATGGCGCAAGCACGCTCCCCTGAGGCAGGCCGTTCTTCTGTTTCCGCCATCTGCTTCTCTGGCCCTGGAACTCAACAAAGAAGCTCCTGTTTTGTAGCAGGTTTCCTATGAGGCAGGTGAGGTGGTCGTCCTTTGTGATCTTATACATTTTTCTCAGGAGGAGGCTTCTCAGAAAGGTCATCAGAAAGGGACACCGGATGATGCAAACCCTTTGCAATGATACTGGTCCGACACTGGCTGATGCAACCTTTTTGCAATGAGACTGGCTGATGCAACCCCTTTACAATGACAAACGTATCACATATTTCCAGTCCAGTACTCACTTTGGTGCAGGTATGGGTCCAGGTACAGGTCCGGGTCCGGGTCCAGGGCTGTGGACGCTTAGTCTCTGCTGGCTCCCAGGTCTAAAAGAAGAGATTGCAGAGTGATCCATGGGGCAAACCTGTTCCCTGGGTCTGCATTTTGTAATAGTATGTATTAGTAAACTAATGGTTAATGTTTTGTTTCAGGTGTCAAACAGGGATGATGTGTTATTGCCCCAACTTTATTTTCCATCTTCATCACAATGATACTTCACCTTGTTGATAGGAAGCTTCCCACCGGAGTGGAAATCATCTATCAGACACATGACAAGCTATTCAACCTCATGATATGAGGATTTAAAGATCGAACTGCAAAGACTCTGGCACAAGCCAGTCAAGGGGATCCCAGTGGTGATCGGTATAAGGACTCCTTAATTGGCCGTCTGGGCAGGGGGGGTCAAAGAATCCCACCGCTGCCACCAATTATAAGGACTCCTTAATTGGCCGTCTGGGCAGGGGGGTCAAAGAATCCCACCACTGCCACCAAATTATAATGATATAATTTCTTGATGACCAAACAATATCACTGGACAGGGGGCAAGCAGATCCCAACACTGTCCCTCCTTCACTAAGGAATTCACACCACTTTGGCTCTTATAGCATTTGAGGGGATGTCTCTTTATTTAAAACCTTCGCTGCCACCATAAACTGAAGAATCACGAACCCTCTAGCTATTTAGACTGCTAAAAGGCTGTTTAAATTATTAAAAGGCTTTTTACTCCACCAAATATTATGTATTATCAAGGGCTTTCTTTGAGGGGAAACAGGAGAGGTTGATTCAACAAGGGAAAGGACTCAAAACCAAAAATGGCACTTGACTCAGGCTTAAATTTTAAAAATAACAAGAAAGAGTTTATTGAATACAAGTTACAGAATAAAAGTGAATGCAGGTTCAGAGGCTTGGCTGTTACAATAAAAGTGTTCTTGGTTCTTAGAAGCGTAACGGTTACTTGAGAGAATGGTTCTATTCTTTGTTACAATTCCTAACACAAAACCCAGCTATTTTCTTTCCTAAAATAGCTGTAACCCAGTCTGCCACAGCCTACTTTGCTGTGCAAACTACAGGCAAGCTGCCTATTTCTAACAGAGACTCCTAAAACTCCAAATCCTACTCTAACCTCACCCAGAACTGAACTGCACTGTCCAAATTAAGCTGCTCTCTTTCCCTCCAACTGACTAACTCCGCCCCCCTTTTCCAAACCAATCCTGGCTGTTGC